TAAATTAACATTTAATAATTAATAATAAGTTGAAAAATTAATTTATATTTTGTATATCTGTTGATAAATCAACATCAGTATTAAATGTTAAGGCATTTAGTGTTAGTATATATTTTACTTCTTGCTTGTTGATATCATTATTTTCTTGTTGATAAACTAACATAGGTATTGAACGTTGAAACATATAATTTAGATTCGGTTGAAAGTTTCAGTTGTTTAAAGTAGATTTGTAAAACGAAACAAAAAAAACCTATAACTTTTTGTTGTGATTTCGAAACGAGAAAGGCATCCCATTACCCATAAAAATTAATAACTTTCTAACAAAATATTTCTTTTTTCTTTTAAATGTAAATAACATTTCAATTTTCTGCGTGATTTTTATTACTGCAGTAATCCAATTCCCTAAAACCTAATAATTAAATTTGATTTGAAAATTATATTATTGTTCTTCACAAAATATTTTATTATATAACTGAATATTTATCAACAAAAAAATTTAATTTCTTAACAAAACTGATAGATTTAAAAATTTGGCTTATTGAGTGCTCATTTCGACAGGATCCATTTTGTTCCACTCTGCTTCTTATATGGAAAAAAATTTAAAGCTCAAATTTTCTGAATGGTAACTTGATAATAGTTTGAAAATACATAATCTTTACAGCTGTTTTCTTTTAAAATTAATAACATTTATTCATAATATTCTATAAGAATAATATAAGTTAATGTATTATTATTCTTATTTATGATATTGCTCTTTTTTAAAATATTATTCTTATTTATAATATTGCTCTTATATAAAATATTATTCCTATTTATAATATTATAATTAATTAATTTTAGGTTTTTATGTAACTTAGAATTACACTGTTCAAAACAATTGAAGGAACAGCTAGTTTTTTTTGCAATAAAAAATCTAACAAAACAAATAAAACCAAACCAGACCAAAATACCATCCGATATAAGATCATATGGGAAAACAAGAATGGACACAATCTGTACCCTAAACAAGGAAATTGGTCACTAGTCCAGCACTGCAGCTGATAAACACCCTGCCAGACAGAGAAAAACAATCATGTCTAATAGGGTATAACACAACTCTCGCATCGGTGTTTTATAATGTTTGCTCTATTATTCCCTGTGTGCAACCGCTCCTATTCTTGCACCAAAACAATCTTGAGCTCATAGATGGTCATTGGAGCTGATCTTCGAGCTGTAATTAAGCACCCAAAGGCATCCCATATGTATTTCATGGGATTAAAATCGCTGGATATCGCAAGCCCCACCAATCGTTGAATATTCCGTTATCTTCTGATATTCGTCATCAACTAAGCCCAGTGTGGACGGGCGTTATAGTCCATAACAATGAAATTTGGACCATATGCTCCACGGAAAAATCCTACAAAGAATGAAGGGATTTCGTTCCTGTACCGTTGACCTATCAGAGTATCGCTTTCTAATACATGACGATCGGTATACCCATCTGCAATGATGCCTGCAAAAACAATCAAAACAACATGGACGATAGTAGTCCTTTTCGACAATGTTAGAGAGTCGATATCGACTCCAGATGAGAATACGTCTCGAATGCCCAGACAGAATCGCGACTCATCACTGAAGAGAACGCGTCTCCGTCCACGATAAGCGTTCTCGGCACCATGTTAGACCATCCTTTTGTGGCTCACAGTAAAAGAGATGCAGAGCAGCTGGCATACAGGCCATCTGCATTAATTCTCTAGGTGAATGTTATCCTTGTAATGGATTATACAGATTGCCAGACAGTTGTGTTGTTGGCGCGGATCTATCCTTTTTGCCAGGTCGGTGAACCATTGTTCTAGTCTTTGTGAACTATTCACACAGAGTGGACTCCACAACTCGCAAAACCTTCCTACAATAGGTCATTGGCCCTCCTCTTCTCTTACAATTATCCACCATCTTGTGGTATCGTCTAGACTCTACACGATGACGAATGGTCATAAGGATGGAAATTCTAAAAGCAAGGATTGGGTTAAGCAACGATGATCGAAAACATTCTTATGCTACAAGTTTTGACGAGCAAATGAGGTACCTCGTCACAAACTCAATTTAGGCTCCACTGTCTAACGACGTCACAAGCCACGGTGGGGCAAAAATGTCCGCGGGCAGCTTAGTTATCATCTGATACCTTATTTTCGTACAGGCTTTATTGTTTTGTTCATTTTTTAAAATAAAAAATCGTTCCTTCCTTTCATTATTTTCATAAGTGTGAATATTTTTTTTAAAGTTAAAACAATTTTGAAAGCATAAGTTTATAAATTTTGAAATCCCTTTTAAGAGGCGAATTTGCTAGAGCAAAAAAACAGAGTTCTCAGAAAAAATTTAATTATAAATACTATCTTGGTAGAAAGATGTCTGTATTTCAAAGTGAACAAATAGTTACAAAACTGCAGGTATTACCTTACTCATCTATTCGGATGTATTTCTTTACGCTGGTTCTCTTTTTAACTGAAGTTCTTAGTCCATGAAAGTGAAACCTGTGATATGCAAACACATGAGAGATATAGGCGAACTAATGGTGTCCTAGTTAAAAATCTGTATTAAATAAATATTTCGTTCAATTTATTTACATTAAGAATTGATTTATGCTTATTTCAGTTATATTACGAAATTAAATTTGGAGCAAATAGCTTGTAGAATTTCCTTATAAAAACAATTTAGTGTTTAAAGGCTCAACAATTTTAAAATCTTTGTTTTAATATTAATTCGTTAAATGCATAGCATCTTAAGAGCAAATTAAAATATTGCTGTAAAATACGATGTAACCTGCGTAAATTAATAATCATAATTATAGCAAAAATGCAGAGTAGTTTTAAGCATGTACAATAATATTTAAGAACGATCTACAATGACGTCAGCACGAAGCTTTCACTAAAGTTTCTTCACCCACGGCTCTCTCTAACAACACTAAAGGAAACAATTATTGTAGAGTTCTTACTCTACAGTTTATAATTTTGTGTCATTTACTTCTGTGCAATAACATTTGTAGTAAGAATGAATAATACTTCTTTGACATTTATAGATATAGAATTGTCCATAGGATAGAGAGAGCTTCATTTTAATGTTGCTTTTTTTAAACTGAGATAGGATTGTGTAAATTTTTGTTAATGTTTTTCATACTGTGCATTTGTGTACAAACTTGAAATTTTCTAATTAATTCCATTTTTTTTTAAATTTCAGAGTTTAGTTCTATTATTTGTAATAAATGTATCTATCATATTTTTATTCACTTCTGTTTATTACATTCTGTCATCATATGATAAATTGTTCTACAATAAATAGAGAGGAAGAAATAATAACGAATAATAACGCATTAATAACGCTTTTCCGTATTCATTCTGATATTAATTTAAAATGATTAATTATACAGTCTTCCCTATAAATTCATTCAATATCGATGCAAATTTAAGAAGAGGAAAAATAGTGATAAATAAAATAATTAAATTAAACCGTAATTTACTTTCCAAAATGTATTTTTGTCTTCACTAATACACGATATCTTTAAAGAATTAACTTGTAAAACATTTTATGTAACTAAAATCAAGCAAATAAATAAGCTATTACAGTTAATTTCACAAATTCATTTAAAAATGACAAAAGTAAACCATAAACTCATCAACTAAACTAGCAGTTTTACTTTTCACCGTAGCATGGATCTAAAACTATTTGGGCAAGAGTGTTGCCAATTTACAATGCTTTGAAAGAACGCGTTGATTTTTTATATGTTTTAGTATTAAAGTGAAAACTCTTGATATTCATATTTCTGTGAGCCTTTCAATTCTGCTCAACTTATGGCTCACGTCAGTTTATTTTTACTTTTCGCGAGGCAATGTCTAAATGAAAATAAGCAGTGGTCGGAAATAGCGCGTCACAAATAGAGATACAACTGCTACTTTTTTAAGTAGTCGGTAGTCTAGTGCACTACTTTTTAAAAGAAGTAGGGAAGTGAGTAGTGCAATACAAAAACGATAAAGAATAGTTGGTATCGATTCCTGGCAACTACGTAAAGATACAAGTTTCAAGCACAACCAATTTTTCGAGTAAGATTGGTACACTAATCTTCGCAATCCCAGTTAATGGTCGAGCGTTAATAAAAATAATACGTTTTATCGAAGCAACTTTTTTTCTTCAATCTAGTCATTATATATAATGACTAATATTTATAACAGTTACGAATAATAGCTAATTTGTTACTTTGGCAATACCTTCTAATGCGAATGTAGTACACACATAGAACTCTAAAAAAATACTTTATGTTATTTCAATGGAAGGAAACATGATTTTCTCTGTACTTTTTTTCTTAGAGGAAATAAATGTGCAATAAACAATTAACATAATCTCAAATATTTCTTAGACAGATTTTTAGATTTCTCTAAATTAAATATTCGTTGTCGTGAAAGAAAATTAAGGAAAGGTTAAAAGAACAAATTTTAAAAAAATGGTTTGTGTAACAAACTGAATCATGTAAGCATGAATGAATATTTCTTTATAATTTCTCATGTTTAATAGGCAATTTTTTATTCAAAACTATTTTAACTGGGGGTGTAAATTAAATTCCCCAACAAAGTTTGTCTCCTAAAAGTTGGGAAGTAGTTACTGCAAGTACATTTCGAAAGTAGCTTGCAGTCATTACTTTGCAAAAAAAAAAAAATAATTGTAATTGACTAGATTTGTAATAAAGTAGTTGCAGCTATCTAAAAAAATATAGTTTTTCCAACCACTGAGAAAATAATTAAGTCATTCAATTATAAAATAAGCTAGATAATATAGAGAGCAAAAAGAATGAATTTAAATTGCAATTTGAATAAGACTTTCATTTTCTTATTATCTTAATTAGATCACTAAAAAACTTATTTTTTTAACTTGCCCTAAAATTGATGCCCTAAAATCAGATTTTTTTATTATTTAATACTTACTCTAAAAAATTATTTGTTACGTTCAAAACAATGATTTAAATTTTAGAAGCAAAGAAAAGAATGATTACAGTAATTATCACATTTATTCTACAACAAACTTTCATTATGAGTCAAGAGTGTCCTGACATCTACAGGAGATATACAAAAGATCACACAGGCTGCTTACAACGTAAGAGCAGTTGCGAATTTCTCAAGATAGGAATGGATGATCCAGAGACTGAAAAAGAGATCATACTAAGATATCACAACGAGATAAGAAGCAAGATAGCCACTGGTCAAGAAAAAGGTGCGGGAGGTATGCCACCAGCTGCAAATATGCTTGAATTAGTAAGTCAAAATAATGTGGAATATTTGATATTTTTTAAATATCTGATAAATTTTGTCATGTTTTTAAAATATGATTTTATGTGCCCTCACTACAGCTCATAAACGAAGTAAGCCTATAGAGGGGACAATTGTCGCCTCTATACATTCCTTCATGAGTTAAAATTCACCCTTACAAGCTCATAAAGTAATAGAGGAGGTCAATTGTCTTCTCTATGGATTCGTTCCTGAAAAGACATGCTTGAACAAAAAAGGAATATAAGAAACTCGAAACTAAGGAACATAATGATTTTTATTTTTTAATTTTGAATAACTTTGGTACTCAAGTAAACTATGCAAGGATTTCAAAGTAACAGTTTTGACGCCTTGTCAAATTTTTAAAACGAAATAATAGAGTCTCTGTTTTTCCTAGATTTGCGAGGTGTGCTAAAAATCATATTTTAGAATTACAACGAAATTGTGGTAATTATTATCAGGCTGAAGTTTTTCATGAAGCAATTTAAGAAAATACAAATTACGACAGACTCAAAAATACCATTTTTTGTATTATTATTTGCTTAGACAATATACACAATGAAAGCACGCACCCATATTCAATAACTTTGATTCAAATAATCGGAATTTTTTCAACTACTTAATAATTATTAAAACTTTTGAATAAACAAACAGCTTTTTAACTTAAAGCTCTGCTGTAAGTCAGCCCAATTAGTCTCATCCAAAGTAATATGCCCTCCTTTTTATGTCATCTACTCTAATAATAAACTCTTTTTAATATCTATTACTCAATCGATTTATTTTATATAATTAGTTGAATATCCGTAGTTATAATCCGCAAAGCAATATATGCCTGGTAAAATATCCTTAAAACAAAAAGTAAATAAATGATAAATTGTTTTTGATCAACACTACGGAATCATGCTCACAACCGAAAAACGTATCCTGCCTTAAAAAAACTCTTTTCTTTGTTATTGGTTGATCTTTTTTTAAGCGATCAAGCAAAAGCATTTTTGAAACTCAGCAGATTTATTAATCAGTATACTTCAAAATTGACACTATTACCATACTTGTCATCTTAAAAAATATTTTTTTAGTAATGAGTAGTATACTTTAGATATTAAGAATTTCTCAAAATAAAAGTTACTTTGACAATATTTAAAGGGGCGTAGCAAATAAATATTATAAACACATATGTTAACAAATATTGATTTATCGTGGTGGGTAAAATAATTTGAGCATTTAAAATTAAGTTTCATAAGTTAAAATATAAATATTGCTCCTATCAAGGAAATATTTTCTAAACGAAAGTGCAAGTTCATAGCCAACGCATGATAGTGAAAATTTATCACGACCTTTTCAAATGGATTTGTACTTTAATTTATTATTTCAATTTCTGTTGATTTTGCATTATTTCGGTTTATAGAAGTACGTTTGAAAAGAGTAACTATAAACAAAATAAAAACGTGGTTTCAGTTTTTTTTCCAACTACTCATTCGGTAACGTTACTCACCCAACGTAAGAAATCAAAAATAAAGGTTTTAAAAATGCATAAACTCATTTTGTATGAAAGAAGCTTAATGCTAGAAAACAACACTAATGTTTTCTTTTAAATCAACAATAATATAAGGAAGGTATGTGTGTGTCTGTCTCCCCTAGAACTCTAGAACAGTTTGTGTAAAGGTCTCGAAACTTCGACCGTGAGTGCAAGGGAAAACTTTAGCAAACCATTCTATAATGATCTAAGTTATGGAATAAAGTGTAAAAATGAGTGGCAACAGAAATCGTATAACTTTCGATGTACACTGAGTATAGTTGATCTTAATTTTGATGAGATGCATTTCAAAAAACGTGTTTCTCTGAAGAGCAGCGGGAAGGGCAGCAAATAATAAAGAAAAAAATTTTAAAATTATTTTAGCTTAGTCTTGACAGGATACGCTTGTGCCTGTTGCATAGTGTGTTTTGATAATAACTTGTTTTTTGTTTTATCTCATTCATATCATAATTGATGAAACTGGAATTCGTGTTCAACAGTGCTAAAACTATGCGAAAATTTCTCTCTTTCTATTTTTGATCGCATAATATTTTAATGATTTTCAGGACTACTGTCCAAGTTTTTACTATTTATAGGGTTATGACAGCAACACTAATCTTCTTCAACTGTAACATATTTTTGGATTTTATCATTTAAAAAATACGCTCACACAACAAGATATTTGTTAAATAACTTTGAGACTTATCACTCAAATAATATGTTTAATCGAGCATCTATTATTTAAAATTCTTCTTAATCTTTTTAAAAATATCTACACTTTTCTTTTAACAAACATTTAGTTTGAAATGGAAAACCTTTTAACCCTCAGATGAAGACGATAATTTGGATGCACCAGAACAAAATTTTAAAGTCGTTATTTCGTGCTTGAATTAAACGGGTGGTAAGAATTTTACCATTTTTTTTAAAAAAAATTATTTATTTATCAACAGATGAAGGGTGTTACTATATTATTCTTCACAAATTTTTTTAAATCATATATATTAAAAAACGTTTTTGATTAGAGAATGACATTTATAGGGGAGAACGGGACTAGTGAGGAAATGTTTTATAAATTAGCGAAAAACCATATTTAATGCAAACTCAAAAAAATATTATGTTAAAAGAAATCATACTGGTTTTATAACTGAAATTACAAAGTTATTTATACTTTTTCGATAATAATTTTTATGAAAAAGATTGCCCCACACTGCACGGGGAACCACCTCGATTAAAAACTCAGAAAGGTAAATCTGAATTCAAAAGGAAATTTCAAAATGAACAAAAAACTTGTCAATGAGTAATACGATGCAGTCTTGGTTCTGGCGATGAAGCAGCTCAAACGCATATACAAAGAAATTATTACTTGTATAAATACTTATTTTTCTCTTGAGATTTGAGAAACCTCTCGTTTTGTGGAAGAGAAAAAACAATCCATAATTACATGAAACTTGTTCATCCTTTTTTTTTCCTTAATTGATCGCCATAATCTCAGAATCTATAAACAGCTGCCACTCTACTAAGATAGTGCTCAACATTTTTTTTTTAAGAAAAAAAACCTAACTAGTTTTAAAATTGTTAACTCTAATTGAGTTGGCGTAATCAGTAAATTTCAACTTTAATTTTTCACCATTTGAGGAATTATATTGAAATTCTAATCCACTTCGTCAGTCAGAGTTGGATTCTTTTGAAGAAAGAAAAACTTTTTTTCTTGTTTACTCTCAATGCAATGAGTTAATTGTTTTCCAATTCTTACCAAACACATCAAACTTTCACTGGGGTTTTCGCTACGTTTTTTTTCTTCCTCGAGATGAATTGATTTTAATAATCTATTTTTAACTGAATGGTCTGAATGAACAATACACGGAGGATATGACTCAGCGATATTTCCATCACTGGAGCAATGTAAACTGTACTTCCAAAACAGGAGACGGTACCGTTCACTGATGGTTTGCTTTAGTTTAGGTATGACAAGAAATACCTATCAAAAACTTTGTTTTCTGCTTTAATTTATCTATATTAAGTCATATTCTTTCAACAAACTCTATAAAATATCTCCATAAAAGTTTCTGTACAAAACATTAATATAAGGGTTTAACCCTAATTTTTATTTATTTTGAGATTGATGTTTTACAATTTGTGAAGATATATCATTCAACAAAATCATTCTAAACTAGAAAATATGTGACATAAAATTTATAACATTTGCAATCAGTTTATATTTGTTTCATTGGAAATTAAATAGAGGCAGTCCCTACTGGCCCCACCACCATGTATTTACGCTAATTTTAAGATGCCTAATGATGAATTATTGAATCTGCCTAGATCAAAATTCAATATCAGAATAGGTAAAAAACAGTTTAATTGACATCATTTTTTTTTTGTTGAAAATCTGAAGAAAAAAAAAGTTAATAAAAGAGTTAACAGAATATTTCAAAGTTACTTTTGCAATTTAAAAACTTTCTCTTGAAAAGATTTATTTAAGCCTGATTAAACAACTGCACATGGAAATTGCAAATTGCGCATATAAAGAATAATTCTATATAACTTTTGATGTGTGAACTTTTTTGTAATGATCTGATAATCTTAGAACTCACTTGTAATGGTTAGAGGGTGACCTCAAATATGCTAATTAATTAGAGCAGCCGATATTTTAAGTTACGAAATAAGGCCCAAAAGCGTCATTTCTTTGAATAAACAGGCCTTTTTTCGACTGATTCGGATTTCTTACCTCCAATACGTAGGGGGTAAGCCGCAATCAGGGAATTAAAATCGCAATAGTTTTGTAAGGAGCGCGATCCAAAGTTTGGACCCCTTAATGTTAATTTTATTTTTTGCGCATTTCGCCATATCTCAAGAACTTTTTAAGCGAACTGAAACATTTCTGCACAAAATTATAAAATTCGTTTATCTAGAGATCATTCCATGCAAAAAATATTTTTTAGTAAATATATATTTTTTATTATTCTATTTAATAATAGACGAACTAAATTTAAATTGTAAGGTATACAGTTTTTTTAAATCATTTTAAAGAATGTAATTTTATATGACAAAATACATGGCATTTGTGCAAAATTGGTCGAATATTTCCTGAGAAATCGATTTTCAAAAATATGACTATTTTAAAACTAGATTTCTCAGGAACTATTCGACTAATTTTGCTCAAATTTTCTGTGGTTCAGTTACTTTCAAATGAGTTCAGTGTAGACATTTTAATATTTCAACGGCCAACAAATAATTTTAATAATTTTAATTTACTTACTTTCAGACGTGGGATGATGAGCTGGCACATTTAGCTCAAAAATGGGCAGAAAATTGCCGCATACCCTGTTGCGAGCACGATTGTTGGCCATGCCGAGCAACAAGTAAATATTTTCTCTTATTAATATTCTATCACCACGAGATATAGCTCGTTGGTATAAGAGAGGTTAATAAATTGGAAACAGCGAAAATACATTTCCCTTGGTGACGCCTGTTAAGAGGATAGCAGCAGTTGTGTTTTTTTTTAAATGAAGTAAAAGCTAAAGTGAACTATTATTAACTATACCACCGTTCTTTAAATTTTTTCCTGAAAAGTAACAGTTCTGTATATTTGATATAGGTGTTGATAAAGGATATTTTCATTTCCCGAAAAAAACAAGATGGAACTGCAGTAATTTTTTACTCTTTCCCTGATAAGTAACTACCCACAATCCAAAGCATCAAAATGCGGAGACAAAAAAAAATAAATAATTAAAAAGAAGGTTACAAGTCAATTTCGTATTCCTCTGCGACGAAACCTTCTCTTCTCTAAATCACTAAAATTATTATTTATGTAACAAATGTTTATTTCCGAAGTGCTTTCTTTCAAAGTAGTCTCAAGAATTGTATTCATGTAAAAGTACTTCTGCAAAGAAAAGTTTTAATTTTTTAATTTTAAAATTGATAAAAGAAAATCATTGTTCAAGAGACCTTCACGGAAGCAGCTTTTTCACAGGAGAGTCCTTTGCCCATAATTTGCCTGCATTTGTATATATTGAAGAATATTCTTACTAGCATGTAAAACTTCAGAGTTTACTTTTATGTCCTTTGAGCTCACTTTTTTGTTTACCGTACAAATATTTTTTTAAGTGTTTTAAGTGGAAAAAATTGAAAAAGACACTAAAAAAATTTGCTCAACCACTAGCCTCCCCAAATAGGAGTTCTAATCATGAGAATTTTTTTTGGAGAGAAATTAGCTTTGTGTGTGGTTAATAATGGAATTAGTTATTTTATTCTATTTTTACAATTTAGTTGCTAATATGTTGGTTTTTTTCAATCTGGGCAATATTAATTTATATGGGTCAAGGTTTAACTGTGCCATTCCATTTCAGGTAGTTGTGAAAAAATCCCCAAACTATTATTGACGATAATGATGATTAATTAACTGTGGTATTAGGTTGTGTGGCAATAACTACCTAATTTACCAATATAGATTTTGTGGTAATAAATGTTTCTACTGCCCCCGATGTTACAAAAAAGTCCCGCATTAAAAATAAAAAATTAATGAAAAATTAAAAAATATATTTTAAAATAATTTCGACACTTACTTTTATATATATATATAT